GTGAGGGTACGAATCTCCATGGGGAGTTCGTTCCACAGGGTCGGAGCAGCCACAGAGAAGGCTCTCCTCCGGGTAGTCGCCAGTCGACACTGGGCGGCTGATGGAATTCGGAGGAGGCCTAGTCTGTGGGATCTTATTGGTCTAGTGGAGGTAATTGGCAGCAGGCGGTCTCTCAAGTCTCTCAAGAGGGGGCTCATTCATGTCCCCAGCAGGAGTTGGCGCAAAGGACGGGAACTCACCCTGCCCCAAAGCAACACTCGGGTCTCAAACACCAGGCTTGCTAGCTTCCAATCCAGCATCCTAACCACATGAGCCACAGTGCTCCTCTAGTATCCCAATTTATAATTGCAGTAGCTAGCAGGGTGGGGATGCATTACTGACTTTCCTTTAAATTGCCTCTGGGTGATTTTTGTTTTTGTTCACAATACATTCCAAAGAACTGATGCCTTGTTTAATTACCAATATTTCTAGGCAGCAGGTGGTAAGAAAGACCTGGCTTTGGAAAACCACCATTCATGTTAATAGACAATACTGAGCTGAATGGGCTCAGAAGATGGCAAGGTTTCCTGACAGCATCATAGCTCATTGATGGAGTCCTTTCTTTGCTTGCAGAAATTTCCCAGTTTTAGTCCCTGGACTTTCAGCTACCAGAATGTCTCATAATAGAGGGTTTCTTCTTCTTCTGGAGACCCTGGGGAGTTGTTACAATTGGGTATTGTCAGCATTGGCTTGATTTGGAGGTGCCCAACTGTCGCAACTTTAAGGTGGACTTGTGGCAAATCCCAGAATTCCCCAGCCAGCCAGTATTCTGGGAGTTGAAGTTTGTGAGTCTTAAAAGTCTTGTCAAGATTGGACATCCCTGGGCTAGATTGTCTAATGGTCTAAAACTTTTAGGTGTCAGGAATTCTGAAATAGTGGTTTTGGAAACAGCTTTCGGACTTTAGCATGAAACCGAAAGAAATGAAAATGCAGCCACGGGATTTGATGAGTAGAACTGTTTTTTAACTACAGAAACATTCTGTGATATGGTTTACTCTACTTGCATTTCATGCTTGTATCTGTACTAGAGAAAGTTGGAAGGTTTTTTTTTTGTCCTTTTCTCTCTGCACCACCTAATTTTGTGTTTTTCCTGCTTTCTCCTTTCTTTTTCTTTTTAAACCATTTGAATCAGGGGTGTCCAATCTTGGCAACTTTAAGCCTGGCGGACTTCAACTCCCAGAATCCCCCAACCAGCAAAGCTGGAAATTAAAGTGTGCCAGGCTTAAAGTTGCCATGGTTGGACACCCCTGATTTAAACCATCTCCTCCTCATAGATTTTTATTTTGTTTTCTTAACAAAAAGCACCTTTCAATATTAGAAACTAAAGGCATAGGCTCTCCGTGGTTTTTTGTATCATTCATTGCATCATTGGTGAGAAGGCTTTCGCAATGGGGACAATTTGGCAGTGCTGCGTGGCCCGTTGTGAGGAAGATGAATGCGCCTGTTTTAATTGCACAGGTGGCGTGTCAGCATGGGCGTCCACAGGGTTGCTAACTGCGATGCTTTCTCATTTAGAACTGTGCCCCGTCTTTGTTTTTTCATGTAAAACGAGTCATGTTAATTCGCAGCAGGGAGAACATTGAAGCAATTTGTTTCAGGATTGCAAAATGATCTGCCAAGCAAATGCGGTATGGTTTGTTTTCTTTTTTCTTTTGCCAGGTGACTGTGATGCATTCGATGCAAGCTGGATATTTGGAGAAGGCCCAGAAATACACCGACAAAGCCTTGATGCAGCTAGAGAAACTCAAAAGTGAGCAGAGTAAACTTCTTTGGTGTGTGTCTTCACACAGATTCTGTTCTTGAATGCCCAACTTGCATGCTCCTTTTCTCTCTATTCTCCCTTTTACATTTACTGTTGCCTTTTCGGGGCACCCAGTGTCCTTTTTCAGGACCAGTGATTGGTCCCCTCCTAAGCACCAGAAAAACCTGTTCTTGGTTTTGGCTCATTCAGGGTTGCATACTCAGCCAGGATCTTTTCTGAACTTAAGGAAAGGAACCAATATCACTTTGCATTTCAATTTAGCACTGGCAGAAAGAATCGCCCGATTCTTACGGTGGGAATTTTTTTGGCACACTTCTTTTCTCCTCCGCACTGAGGGAAGAGTAGAATAAAGGGTGTTTTTGCAAGCCTGATGCTGCATGTCTCCCCAAGATTTTTGAGCGCCTGTTTTTATAACCCAAAATATTACTCCCTGCTTCAGAAAAGCAATTAACGGTAGACCGTAATGGAGCTGGCCCATTATGGACGTAAGTCACAACAGTCATTAAGTGGGTCATCACATTCACCGATCTGATTTTGCAACCCTTTTTTTGTGGTGCTTCTTAAGCAAACACCAGAAGTAAAAAGCTGGTTTTGGGTTAAAGAAACGTCCATAAATTGTGCTCACGCGACCACGGAACACTGCAGGTGGCCATACATTTAGGCCAGTAGCCAAATATCCAAAATTGGTCACACAATTTGTGTGTGGGGTTGTGGTGGGGGAAATTGGGTGTCAAAACTTCAGAACCAAGTTGCAACTACCTTTTGGGGATGGGGAGGTGGAGGCGGGGGGGAGGGGGTTTCCATCCAGTGGTGGGTTTCAAAAATTGTTCGAACCTACTCTGTGGGTGTGGCCTCCTTTGTGGGAATGGATTGCCGCCCATGTGATCAGATATGACGACACTTGTCAGAACCACCTTAAATTACCTCACCCACAGCACTGGCATGCATAAGAATATG